TTATATGTTTATTTTTGGGCCACTTTCGTGAGAGAAACTCGCTTTAGCGCCTAAACGGTGAGAGATAGAGCCAAACGGACGAAATTTTCGCCCAAAGGGCTCTACTTTCACGAGTTACCCCTTAGGGGACCATAAAACAAATATTTTTTTTCCACTTATTGGACCAACCCCTATTTCTTTGTTACCCTCTCAGACCCACTCAGGGGTGGTTGCCAGGATTTGCACCAACCGTTTCGTTGACCAGAAGTGACAACAATTATACCCTGAAAATTTCAAACCTCTAGCTCACGTCCTTCTTGGGAAACGGACAGACAGACAGACACAGAGGCGATGGCATAAGCCCGCTTATATAGCTTTTAAGCAAAAGAGCGGGCTAAAAAAGCTGTACATTTTTTTATGCTGAGTAAGAGAAGCTAAAATTAGTTGCTGCAAGCGTGTAAAAAGAAGTTATCTTAATTCTTATAGCAATGCTTTTAGTATTAGTAGAGTAAGCACGTTGCACGACAAAGAGACCAAATGAAGTGACTAAAATCTGCCAATTGACAATACGTGACATATTTTTGCTACAAATGTACTACAAATAGAGATCTTAATCCAGAATACTAATTTTCCTAGTGTTGTCTCCCCTCTACAGGAAAAGACCACCTCTAGACTAGATGTGGGACAACACAGCCATAGTGCAATCTGAGCAAGGACATGCGTGAGATAAGTTGCATTAGTATTGGGAAAAATAACTCACTCGGCATATAGTTTGGTACTGTGGCACTCTGTGGAGCCTGCTGAACACCCTTTTGCTGTTCTGGCTGAACTACGACCTCTTGAGTAGAGTCTTCCTTCACACTCTGGTGGAGGTTGTAGATTGGTCGGAAGGGGTGGGAACAGCACCGGACCACCTGGCCCTCGTAGTTTTGAAAGCTTCGGAATGATCCATTGCCTGCAGCCAGCTGGATACGATTAAAATCCTGATTTGACACAATTTTCAAATCCACCCATATCGCGGAGCCTGTTACTCGAGACGTGGTCTGACGTACATCTTCCTCGTGATAAGTCCTGGAGTCCTGGTGACACGCTCATTGAGATACTGTTCTCGGCGCTAGCGTGCCTGGCTTCATCCTCGCTCCGTCGTGCTTCTGCCAGCGGCCACGGCGAGGGCCATGGCCTCTTCAGCGGCGTGGGCGTAAGCGTGATGAAGACGGATGGATCTGCGTCGTTCGTCTCTTATTTCGTTGTCATCATCGGCATGACCTTGCCTCCTTGCTTGTCCTGCGAAGCATCCTTCTGACGGTGAGCCGCAGCGGCATCCGGGTCCTCTTCAGTTATCTGCTTTGAGCGTTCACATTTTACGAAATAGACGTCACTTAACCGTTATTTAAACACTGTGACGTCACATTCTATATTGTGTGAATAGATTGTTCCAGGCTATCTCAGACGGAAGTGAAAATGAACAAACTCACTGATTTATCTGTTACCGACTGTTCAGTATGAGAAATATAGCATTCCGGTAAAGCTGAAATGCTGAAGAATGAGGGGTACAAGAAACCGGAAATCGCTATGCTTTACTTCCGTTTTCTTGTTCCTCTCATTCTTCTGCATTATAGCTTTACCGGAATGCTTCATAAGGCATTCCGGTAAAGCTGAAATGCAGAAGAATGCGTGGAACAGGAAAACGGAAGTGACCATGTTAAAGCATCTTGATTTCCGTTTTCTTCTTCCTCGCATTCTTCTGCATTTCAACTTTACCGGAAAGCTTTATTGCCATGGTAGTTTTGACCGATTCTTACCTCTCAAATATGGAAGGAGGATCGAAACTGATCTGACAGTTTGCCGTAGTGGCACGTGATCGGCTCATCCAATCAGAGCCATCACGGAGCAGAAAAGTCGGCGAGTTTGTTCTTTATTTCCTACTTCTGTTTTGGATAGCCTGGAACACCCCATTGCGTCACATTATTTAGAATAGTATGTCACATTCCTCCGAGAGCGACTTATCTCTGAATCGCTCAGTCCATGGTAGGCGTAGCTCCTATGCCACGTAATGACGAATGTAACAAGAAAGTTCGAAAAGAGTTTTGGTCTATTGACCTGTTTATCCAAACGATGTGGCAACACCGCATGCTAATAGTTTCCAGGGACAAACTCTTAATGAGTGATTTTAGCGGTTAGAAGAAAAAGAAGATGTTCCAAGATGGCCACCACGGACCACAACAAACATTCAACTATTTCCACGAAGCGGCTGCTAGCAGACGCCCGCGCTCAACCTTATTTTGCGCCTATTTGAGTCAAATTTGGTATCATTTTGGTCGGAAGAGGGGAACACACAAAAAAGCATTTGAACATCCGTGACGAATTTTTCAGGTTCGTTAATAAGATGTGGTGTTAGTTTGTTAAAATTGTGAACATGAACTATTATTTTCATATATTAACACTAAATAGCATGCATTCTTAAAGGTCCGATATCGTTTTCATCGTGTTCTTCACGCTTTTCTGATTCTAACAAAGCCAAGTTGGGAGTGGATATGTGCACAACTTGTGCAAACAACTTGTGCAGCCCTGACTACAACGGCTATTCGCACAACTTGTGGAACAGTATTGGCACAATACTATTGGCACAACTTGTGAAACCACTATCGGCACAACTTGTGCAGACTACGTAGTAACGGTTATTCGCACAAATTGAATGATCTCCTTGTACTAGTAGCCAATAGACAAACACAAGCACGACTTGTGCACTCTTATTTGACACTATTATTCGCAGAACCAAGCTCATATGATTAATATTCATACCGATTGAGCAACATGGCTTGTTCAAAAATTCTGGTTGCCTCTTCTTCACCAACACATATTGGTGTGGAGCAGAGCTCTGCAAAATCGCCGTTTTCGACCGACCGAGCCGACCGGGCCACGGTCGGTACCGACCGGCTGCAAGGTGAGAGGTGAGGAGGGGAGACATCCAGGGAGCTCCTCTCCTCTCCTCTCACCATGCAGCCGGTCGGTACCGACCGCGGCCCGGTCGGCTCGGTCGGTCGAAAATGCGATTTTGCAGAGCTCTGGTGTGGAGGAAGAGGAAGACAAACTAAAACTGCTGCTGGATTCCATCTCTGATGGGCTGGAGGGAAGGTCTTGTCCAGAATAAGTGTCAGTATGGTCATTAACAAACTTCAATATAGCCCCATTGTGGGACATCCCATCAAGAGCCGCGCAGTAACCAGCTTCTTTAGCTGAAACCAACTATATGGCCAAAACAAATGTAAGGAAACATGAATGTGTCTGGATGACAAATGATTCCACTGAGAATACATACGTCCAAAACTGCCCAGGATTGGGAACCATCATTCTGAAAGTCACACTGATAAGCCTCATCTTGGGAACTAAGACCCAACTCAATTATTTTGTTGTTCACCAAGGCACAAAGCAAGTCCTACAAAAACGAAATTAAAAACAAAAAAACAAAACAAATCAGAAAATTCTACAGCAATTAACTAACATACAAAATATACATTCATAACAAATTGTTTACTTCAGTAATTCCAAAAGGAAGGCCAAACACTTTCACTTGGCTCCCATTTATCGCATCTATATCCCAGTTGTCAGGATCACTAACTGAAATTGGTGCAGAGACAACTGGACAATTAGATGCTGACACAGTGCTGGATGCCACAGCAGGTGTCTTTGAACTTTTCACAACAGGATCTGGGATAAAAAAACAACAACTTTAGAATTGAGAACTGGGCATATGCAACCGTTTCAGAAAATAAATTTTACTTACTAGTGTTAACTGGTGTAGTGGTGCAATTGCTTTGCAAGTGACTGGTGATGAGACAAATACAGGTAGGGGTGTCTCATTTAGCATTTGTGAATAATTTGCATTAGACGCTGACACAATGCTAGAAGATGCCACAGCAGGTGTCATTAAACTTTTCACAACAGAATCTGGGAGAGAACAAAAACTTAAGAATTTTTGAGAACATGAGGGCAAGCAAGCATTTCAGAATATAAATTCTACTCACTGGTATGAACTGGTGGGGCAATTGATTTACAAATGACTGGTGATGAGACAACTACACGTAGAGGTGTCCTGATATTTACCATTAGTGGATAACTTGCATTAGCTGCTGACACAATGCTAGAAGATGCCACAGCAGGAGTCTGTGAACTTTTCACAACAGAATCTGGGAGAGGACCATAAAAACTTTAGAATTGAGAAACATGAGGGCAAGCAAGAATTTCAGAAAAAAAAATTACTTACTGGTGTAAACTGGTCGGGTAATTGATTTACAAATGACTGTTGATGAGACAACTACACGTAGAGGTGTCTTAGTTACCATTTGTGAATAATTTGCATTAGCTGCTGACACAATGC